TTAAGTATGAATGTTACGATCTTCTGTCCACCATGGACGTATCTGACTGCTTTATTGATGGCAGTGAAAATGGAGACCTGCTTTGGGATTTTTTGACAGAAACCCGCCACTTTAATAAAACAGCACCACCTGATCTGAAAGCAGAAATTACGAAAGATCTGCAAGAACCTGAGTTCAGCATCAAGAAAGAGGGAAAGGTTCTTTTTAATAATAATCTGAGTTTCATAGTGGCTGAGGCATAAGTATCCATCATGAGAACGTATTCAAAAATTGTATTTTGAACAGCGTTGATCATTCACTTAATTCTGTGTTAAAATTATAAATACATCTCATAACATAAACGGAGTATTGTCCCTTATATGTAAAATCTAGAAAAGTCCAAGATATTCTTGGACTTCCATGTAGAATTATATATGACAAATGGTCTTAATTCTATCGCTTCTCCAGGTAGAGAGGATACATGAGGGCTACAGACCGCAAAAGCTGGAAAAATGAGACAACTCAATTTCACTGACTTATATCGTGATAAAATTCTTCTCATTTGTTGATTGTAGTGGAATTTCCTGGACTACCAATAAAATATGTGTTATAGATTCTTTAAATACTAGTAAAGTATATACTTACTGATAATCCTGGACGTTAAAAAATGATTTTTTTCCTTTTTGTGAAGTATTTGTCTATGTGCATTACTCTGTTGTAGTTTCTTATTTTTATTGATTACTAAAAATAAACACTTAAGATGTTACAAAATTAACTTTGTCATGTGTTGTCATTTCCTCTCATTTTCTTTTCTTTTGATTTTATCTATGATTTTATAGTGTTTTGTTCATTTTTTTGATATATTTAAGTTTTCCTATTTTATTCAGTCAAATTTCCTTTTTTTCCTTTTTTTAATTTCTGGGTTTCTGACACATTTTTAAAGACCTTCTAAAACTGTGGTTTTAAAATATAAACATATTTTATCATAATAATTTTATAGTTTCACTTTAAAAAAATAAATGTTTAAAATTTACATGAGCATAAAGACTGAGATTGAGAAACAATTTTCCCTCCAAAAGGGAGTCAGCTACATCAACACAATTTACTTGGGAAAAATGCTCCACTGACAAAATATATCTTCTATGATTTACTAAATTTCTAGAAAACCTTGCATCTATTTCAATACTTTATAATCCCTTACGTCCTTCTGTCTAAGATCTCCGCTAAGATCAAGACAGCAGGATTTCAGGGGATTTTTGAAAACTTCTTTGATAATCTTTGTTTCATCTTTAATAATAAACATCTGTCATTCTTACAAAGATAGTACATCTCTTATGATAAGTATTAAGTCATTTTGTAATTAATAAACACATATTTTTGAAGTACATAATTACTACTCCCTGTTAGAAACAGCACAAAAGAGAATACAGACTTGTGGTTACC